GGGCCCCAAAACCACCCTAAACCCTAAACCCTAAAACCCTAAACCCTAGAGCCCCAAAACCAAGAACTTAGCAGGTAAGCCTCATGTCCTCCCGACCTGCAGCGGCAAAGGACCGATCCCCTGGCCTTTTTGGTTTAGGGTTTAGAGGTTTATAGGGCTTTAGGGGTCTAGGGGTTTAGGGTTTAGGGTTTAGGTTTTTTTGGTTAAGGGGAGGTTTGGGGTTTAGCAGTTTAGCGTAGAGGGTTTTGCGGTTTAGGGTTTAGGGTTTAGGGTTTAGGGTTTAGGGTTTCGCGGTTTCGGGCTTGGGGTGTGAGGATACCTATAGGGGTCGGAATAATTCGCAACAACATCTCCTTCAGAGCTCTTTTGGTCCCTATACTACAACGTACCCCAAAATTCGTCGAATGATTAAGGCCCCTATATGATGACCCAACTTAATTGAACTTGCCGCCTTGTCCGGGGCCCGTACGAATTCAGTGTTTATTGGACGCTACAGAAGAGAGCGTTATGGTAGCTTAGGATGTCGAATCTGTACTTGACCCCTAAACCCAAGACCCTAACGACCACGAACCTTGACGGTCAAGGTTCGGCGGTTTCGAGTTCGAGCATGCTTGCTCGCGGATCAGTCGACATAGTAACTAAGGATATATAAGTACCTGAGATGAGGTCCTCAGGAAACTAAGTTATGATACCTTACATATAGCCATACTTGCTAAGTCCCCTGATCCTCCCATACGGCGACCACCACTACCATTGCCCCTACGACTGCGACTGCGACTGCAACTTCGACTACGACGACGACTATTCCTACTGCAACTTCTGCTTGTGCTGCTCCCATCCTACTCCTACTCCCCCACTTTTCGAAGGCCTTCCAAGAACCGAACCCCTAAACCCTAAACCCTAAACCCTAAACCCGCTTGAGCTTCGTGCTTGCTGAGTTCGACTGGCAACCCCCATACCTGAAATACCCGAGGAACCTTGGGCTCAGGCCGAGTCCCTGTTTCGGTGAACTGCAAACCCCAAAAACTTGAACACAAAGCAAAACAAAAAGCCGCGCAACCTGAGTACTTGGGGGAGTCCAATATTGTCTTCCTTCCACCTAAACCCTAAACCCCAACTCCCTAAATCCTGCAATCCACAAACTCCAAACCCAGCTAGGACTTAGGGTTTAGGGTTTAGGGTTTAGGGTTTAGGGTTTGTTTCAAGTGCCCTGGAACAAAAGGAGCTCTCGGATGCCTTGCAGCGGCGGCCCCCCGAGGTGCGCCAGGCACCGCGGACAACGAGAGGTTAGAGGTTAGAGTTTAGGGTTTAGGGTTTAGGGTTTAGGGTTTAGGGTTTAGGGTTTAGGGTTTAGGGTTTAGGGTTTAGGGTTAGGGCTCAGGGTTGAGGGTTGAAGGTGCGGCGAGGGGAGGGGGAGGGGGGGGATTGAAAGGGTTCTGCATAGGGTTAGTGTCTGGCTTGCTGTAAGGGTTCTACAAGGGTGACTAATATAGGGGCCGAAATTATCACCAATGCTGTTGTGGGGGTCCCTGATGATAATTACACCCGTAATATACCCCAACACCCTATTCTAATTATTCAGGCTCCCAGATTAAACCCTAAATATTAAACCCTAAACCCTAAACCCTAAACCCTAAACCCTAACAAGGCTTCTACCGTCTATCGGATCTGAGGTTTTGGACGGTTCTGGGTGCAGGGTCTCAGGTTGAGGATGCAGGGTGTCGGATTGGACTTCAGGAGGTTTCGCTGGCTCATACTGTCGTCATAGTACAAACAACTACAAGCTACGGCTGATGATACAAATCCTGCATTACCCATAATAAGGAATATACCATAATTACCATAGTTTAGGGTCCTTAAGGTACTGCAGGATTTATATCTATAAACCACCCTAAACCCTAAACCCTAAACCCTAAACCCTAAACCCTAAACCCTAAACCCTAAACCCTAAACCCTAAACCCTAAACCCTAAACCCAAACCCTAGCTGTGAGTCCGCCTGAATTGTGTTGCCAGCTCCAGACGGCAAGCAATCTTCTGGTCCCAGACCCTCGCAACACTAACCTATTCTAAGGTACTGCAGGATTTATATCATCAACAGTATCAGGCAGTCCGACGCCGGTGTTTGCAAGGCGTTGCAGTCGGCCATTGACCATGGACTTCTGCCCCCAAAGCCTCTTGGCCTGTGGCAGTTGGGTTTAGGGTTTGGGTTTAGGGTTTAGGGTTTAGGGTTTAGGGTTTAGGGTTTAGGGTTTAGGGTTTAGGGTTTCGGTTGAATATAGGGGTCTGTCTCAATGATTACCGACACTATTTTGGGGGGTTCCTCAGTATCATCTAGTGTAATGGGCCCTAAAGCCCTATTCTAGTTATTACGGTCCCTACGTTCTTAGCCCCAGGGTTGCCAACTTTGGGTGTCGGGGTTTAAGGCTTTGAGGTGTATGGTTTAGGCGTCAAGTTTGCGGGTTTAGGGTTTGGTAGACCTTGACTAGTACCGGGCACCTTCCTGAACCAGTGTTCCAGCAGAGATCTCAGTTTTATGGGGCTTGAAAAAATTTCGTCTATGGGTCAGGGTCTGAACCTCTTGTGACTATCGCAATCACATTGCGACTGTGAAGATTGTAGCTGCTGGGTGTTACTGGCCCAAAGCCCTGCCCCGTATGAGAGTTGCTGGTGTACCCTGAGGCAGCCGGTTATGCTATGTAGGTGCTCATGGGACTTAAGACCAGCATGTTTCTCATTCAGGGATGAACTGGGCTATCTGGCTCTCTAAGCACCAGGCTATATCAGGCCTCAGTCACTAGAGACCCCAGCATCTGTCACAAAGCCGCTCAAAGGGGTCTAGGTCTGTGTTTACTCTGGCATCTGAAATGCTATGAGGCTCTCTTGATAGGGTTCTGTGCTTGTTTCGTGATCCTGCTTCTGTGAATCCCAGTATTTGTAAAGTGCCCTCAACCCCAAGCACCCGAATCCATGAGCTTAAATGAAACCCTGAGCTCTACCAGAATATAGACTTAGTTTGGACGCCCCGCCGCAGTTTGTGATGTTACGACTGCAGGGCTTGGCGGGGCCTAACCCAATCACAAAGTCTCAGGCCTCAAGCGAGAAATATCTAGTCCTTCTGGCTCATAGCAGGGGGCGATTCTATCATAGCAGGGGGCGATTTTATCATTTAAGGAATGCCAGTCTTATTTTCAAATTCGACTGTAACTATGACGGTTTGAGCTTGAGTCCTTTGCCGCATGAGTCGCTGGGGTCTTTAGAACCCCAGACCCTCCTTAGTGCAAGGCCAACAGCCTGGCGTCGAAGGTGGGCTATGGGGTTCTGGCTAGAGCTTAAAGTTGGGGGTTTAGAGATACCACACAGACCTTCCAAAATCCCTGAATCGAGGGATATACCTTAACTCATATAAGGGATCATACTACATGTTGAGGCTTATTCCTGAGTTAGGGGATGTTGGTAGGTCTGGGAGATACTAGCAGGTTCACTGTGCAGGTTCCTAACAGTTTCAGTACAAGGTTTTTTGTGGGTTGTAGAACTTAGGAATTTTGGGGTTGAGAGATTCCGGGTCAAGACGTCCAGGAAACGTTATCCAGGACTGCACACGATATATCGTGGCGATTGCCACTTGGTGCCAGTCCCGAGCGTCTCAACGCACCCGCACTCGCCATAGAGAGAACCTTAACCCCTAAACCCTACACCGCAATTACTCGCGACTTTACCCCTCGGTCGTGTGGCCTCTCTGGGTTTATAGCTTGGGTTTGAGACTTGAGTTTCAGAGGTTGCGGCTCAAAGGCCTTATAAGCCTCTGAAACCTGAGCCTGACCTTAAACCTTGAAGCTGGATACCTTGAACCGACCGGGTTCTGGGTTTGATCACTTACGTGATACTGCTGATGATATACATCCTGCATTACTTTAAGGACTTATAAACTATGGTAATTATGGTATACTCCTTGTTATGGGCAGTGCAGGGTTCATATCATCAACCGTAGTGTATTCGGAATGTTGCTGTTCATCGACCCTCAACCCTACACCCGAAACCCCAAAAGCCCTTAACCCTAACCCCTAAACCCTAACCCCTAAACCCTAACCCCTAAACCTCAAACCCTAAACCCTACAAGACCGATGTAGAACAGCTTCGGGCCGAAGGCGCTTAGTGGCTGCCACCACAGCAGCCCTCGAGTCAGCAGACTTGAGTGCAGCCCTCGGAGTACTGAGGAAATATCGGGGTTTAGGGTTTAGGGCTTTGGGTTTAGGGTTTAGGGCTGAGGGTTGAGGGTTTAGGGCTTAGGGCTTATAGGGTTTAGGGTGTAGGGTTTCGCAACTATCGGGTGTTTAACGCGGATCTTTTGCAGGCTCGTTAATGGATCTTCTACACGAGATCTATACTACAAAGGCCTCCAAACTTAGAGTCCGCCGTTGTAACGTTCGCCCAGGGGTCATAGGGTAATATATATATATATATACATATATATATATATATGTAGATTGATATATATATATATACACACACACACTTATATTTACATTTACGTTTTTGTTTATTTATTTCTATTCATTGGTATGTACACACCGACACATACGTACAGTTTCTATCTATCTATCTATCTATCTATCTGTTTATCTATCTATCTATCTATCTTCTATCTATCTATCTATCTATCTATCTATGTGTATATACATATATATATATATACGTGTGTGTGTATATGTGTACATTTACACATATATATATATATATGCGTACGGATAAGTGTGTGTGTTTTTATTTATGTAGACATGTATATACGTATGACTGTCTGCTTTTGGTTCAGTTGGAAAATACGCAGTGCGCACACACAGAGACACACACACACACACATACCTCCTGTCTAGCATAGCTGTGCAGGGACGAACAGGGGATGATTGGTGGTCCTTCAACTTTTGTGTTTTTCTGTTGGGACTAGGGCTCCGACTCCGGGCTTAGGTTTCAAGCTCGCCGGTTTAGCGATACTTCGGTTTGTAAGGCTCTGGGATTCCAAGTGTCTACTGACATTAGCTATGAGTTGTGGGATCTGCGGGCTGGATCGGGCGTCGAGGACGGAATCGACAAGTTCAGACTGCTTGACTAGCTCTGAAAAATAGGCTGTAGCAGAATACTTGTAGACCAGTACTGTGTGATAATATCACCTGCACAAGCAAGGGTGCCAGCGACTGAGACCGCAACAGATTCGTATGTGCGAACGCTGCATTGGCCGGGGTTCTGCTCTGCGTTCAGGATGTTCGCATTTGGAGGTTGCATGTTAGGCATATAATAATTTACGGCTTCGGGCTCTAGTTTAAGACGGGGGAGGACACCGGAGTAAAATCGTTAGGCAGCTATGTGTGTGGTTTGCGGAACCATTCCACCGAACTCGTAGACCCTCGATTCTATGCACAACTGCCGAACACGTAGGTCACCGAAGGTCCGTAGACGTACTACACAGTTCGACATTATGCGCCGCAAACGCTGCAGCCGTGAGACCCGTCCTTTCTCTACTGCTTCTACTTGCCCGGAGGGGTGTTTTGTACGCTTTTTGGGCTTAACAGGGTCTGACAGCCTTAACTTAGCCCTAAACCCAAAGCCTTGAAGCCCCAAACATCTAGAATACTGTTCAAAAGACTTTTAGGGTGCTTGAGCTGGAACCTGCATCTCGCAGCTACCGAAGCTACAGCCCTATCTGGCTATGGCTAAAACGTGTTACAAAAAATAAGATTGCAACGACATGCCCAATATGAAGGAGGTACTGAGTAAACCTTCGTCCAGTGTCCCTGGAGCCTCTAAACCATCGAATGAAATACATCAACCCTGAACCCTAAACCCTCGCATAGAAGCCTGAATGGTTGTGAATGTTGTTCCCTAGTGATCCTCATGATAATCGTAGCATAGCATCCCCCGAAATCCTGCTCGAATTCTTAAGGCCGCTATTTGATGTTCCTTCCCTTAATCTCAGAGGCCCGGATGTACTGAGCTGCCCCTTCGTCCTCGTGGACGAAGCGACGCAACTGACGGAGCGGTGGAGCTGGGATGCCACGGTGCAGGCTTTAGAACTTGAGGATTAAGGTTGCACGATTTGGGGTTTAGGTCTTAAGTTCTGCGGTTTGAGGTTTAGGGTTTAGGATCACTTCATAACTTCAGGCATCTGGGGCCACTGTTTCATGAGGTTTACACCCAACCCTAAACCCTAAACCGTAAACCCTAAACCCTAAACCCTAAACCCTAAACCCTAAACCCAAACCCCATCATACATGCTGAGGGTGCTTGACTTTGAGTTGCTTCCGCTGTTGGACGACTCGCCAACTTGGCGAACCACAGGGCGAAGCCCGACAAGTTCGGGAGCGGTATCCGGTGCGAGAACCCAAAACCCAAAACCCTAAACCCTAAACCCTAAACCCTAAGCCCAAAACCCTGAACCCTGAACCCTAAACCCAAAACCCTAAACCCTAAACCCACTGGGAGCTTTTTCTTCAAGGATGTCGCAGGCGAGGGAGAAGCTACTCCGAAACTGCGGGGGCCCTTGACGCGAAGTTGGAGTTCGTGCCAAGTCGGCCTCTGAACATCAGGATTGATTTAGGGTTTAGGGTTTAGGGTTTAGGGTTTAGGGCTTAGGGTCTAGGGTTTAGGGTTTAGGGTTTAGGGGGTTTCCGAAATTAGGGGACCCTAATATAGTACCCTAAATAGTAGGGTCCTTGTTATACGGACCCCAAAATAAGGTACCCGTTTCCGAACATTAAGGGTACCTTATTCTGGGGTCCTTATAATAAGGATCCTACTATTTAGGGTACTACTTTAGGGTCCCCTATTTTCGGAAACCCCCATATTGGGGTGAGCGACTGTCCGGTGCATCCTGATGCAGACATGACACTAAACCCTAAGCCCTAAACCCTGAACTCCAAAACCCTAAAACCCCTAAGCCCTAAACCCTGAACTCCAAAACCCTAAGAACCCTAGGAACCCTAAACCCTAAACCCCTGAACTCCAAAACCCTAGGGAGTCCTTGGGTTGACTTTGCATTCGGCGTCTGAAGTGCAACGCCCATGGAAGCCTGAACTTGTCTGGGCACCCCCCGCACCAAATCAGTACTACGAGTGCAGTTAAGAGTAGGGTTTAGGGTTTAGGGTTAAGAGTCAGGTCGCTGGATTTAAGCTCACCTGATAACGGTTTAGGGTTTGGGGGCCTTGGAAAGCCGGAGGGCTTAAAGCCCAAGCACACAAAAGCCTGCAGGAGGCTCGACGTTTGACTTTGCGGGGATTGTGCCAAAGTAAGTCTAGGTATAGAAACGGCACAATACTGTAAAATCCCCGAATTCATGAACTCCATTTCTTCGAGGCCCTTGCAACCTTACGATTAGGATCTTGTCATATCCTTCAGAGCACAGCGCGAGCTTACTAACCAGCATCTCTGCGTTCTTGTTGAGGAGTGTTTAATTCGAATTGCCCTATTTCATAGGGGTCCATAGTAACAAATATGGTTTCCTGGGTCTATAGTAACTAGTATGGTTTCCTTATTATGGTAAGTTCAGTCCCTTAACAAGAACCCAGATGACGGTTCTCAAGGCGGACCCAGCAACCATGCAGAGCACAGGAGCCGGCAATCTTCTACGCTCTGCAGAAGGCCAAGCAACGACTGGATATGAGTAGTTCTCTAAATTCGGGTCCCTTTCGGGGTCCCTTTTAGAAGGGTGCCGTACTATGTTGGGGGACCCGAGTTTACAACACTACTCATATGTGAATGGCTGTGTGGGCCTGGGCGGTCTCTGCATGAGGGCCGCCAGGTTCACTTAGAGTCTTAGAGGTCCTGGTCCTTCGACCAAGGATCCTACAGTTATGTTGTTCTTTGTTTTTTTTTTGGTGGGGGCCCTTGTGTTTGTATCAGAAGACTCCCGTATGGAGCGAGGGGCGGGATTCTCAATCCAAATTTGCAACCCTAAACCCAGTAGACCCACAAGGCTTGTGTGTGTGTGTGTCGGTCGGGAGGCGGGGGGGGTGTTTGAACTTCTTATTTAAGTGGGTCGCATCTGTCAGCTTTTGTCGTGTTCGTGTGTTTAAGAGAGTGGTTGAAAACACTTCGTATGTTTATTTGTGTGGTGGGTTATCCCCTAAACCCTAAACTCTAAACCCATTAAGTGATTTTCGCTCCAGGGTGCTGCTTGTTGGAGCCTAGATTGCTGCGTCCAGCATTGTTCCGGTTAGGAGGGGCCCTTGTAAATTAAGACCCAAACGGCCCAAACCCTAAGCCCCCAAAGCATCCGGAACCCTAATCCCTGAGGTCTAAACCCAGAAGCAGCCTGTAAGCACTCCAAGTAAGAAACGTCTGATCGAATCTTCCTCGCTTGCGATCGGCAAGTCCACATGCGAAGGGCAAAGTGGACCCAAATAGAGACTATACTCTACCATAATATAGTTGATTACTATAGCAACGCACAGCATTGCTGTAGTATACTAGAGTGTACTATACTGTAGTATAGTATAAGTAAAGTATAGTATAGTATACCTTACTATACCATGCTAAACGTCACCACGCTCCGAATTTGATGGCCGTGTGTCAGTGATGTCAATTTGCTGTGAATCTCCGACGCTTTTTCCCACCGACTGAATTCCCTAAACCCTAAACCCTAAACCCTAAACCCTAAACCCAGCGGTTTGGGGCGTAAGGGTTTAGGGTTTCGGGATTTCTTGCAGCCCTCTGATCCCCAGCACCCTACTCTAATTGTTCAGGCCCTTAAGTTATAGACAAAAGGCCTTTTTCTGAATTCTGTAGCTTTGTACTTGAGATATCGGAATCAATGCATCATCTTTGTAACATGGAGCCCGAAGCGACTTCGTTTCTTCCGAAACTTAAACCCTAAGCCCTCAAGACACTACAGCCTTAGGCCAACCCTACACCCTGAACCTTATAAAGCTTCATCTAGTATAGGTGCCATGATAATTAGAGTAGGGTTTGTCGGTATATTATACTATAATTATCATAAGGAACCCCCAATTATTAAGGCCCCCATATGAACCCTAAGCCCTAAACCCTTAACCCTAACCCCTAGCAGCCTTTGTTGCGGATTCCGCCTTTGCGGGATTTCCGGCAGGCGCGAGCAGAAGAGGTGCTGCTGGTCGGGGATCCACGGCAGCTGCCTCCCCGGGCGGTGTCTCTTGGCAGATATTGGGGTTTAGGGGTTAGGGGTTGGGGTTTAGGGTGGCAGAAAATTTGGGATTTAATGACTTAATGTAGGGGCCTAAATCCAGTACTATTTTGGGGGGGTTCCTTATCAATTTTTGCAGTATAATACCCTATTCTAATTGTTAAGGCCCATACATTAGTTTTTGAGGTCTTGGGTTTAGGCTATTGAGGGTTTCGGGTTTGGGTCTTTGGGCTCAGCATGGGTAACCGGATGGTTTACGCGCTACTCAGAGGCAGCAAAGGTGTGCCCGGGTTTCGGGGGCTGGCAGCCCACGGGCTGCTTCTCCAGTCCCTACCTATAGTCTCCATTGTAGTTCCTTTTTGGGGTTCAGTTATGGGAGCCTAAAAATAAAAATGGTTTAACCAAAAAAAGGAACTACAATGGAGACTATAGGTAAACCCTACACCCGTAAACCCTAGATGTTGGGGATGCAGTAGGTCTGTGGCGATTTGACATCTATGGGTTCCGGGTTTCGCTGCAAGCGCCAGGGCTGTAGACATGGAGCCTCGACTTATGCAAACACTTCAACACACGATGTGCAAACGTGTAACGGCTCCAGTGGCTCAAGCTGATGGTGATGCTGATGATGATCATCGTCTCAGCCATGACTATGAACTATGATACTAGCGATGATGATGCGGATGATGATGGGGAGGAGGCGGATGTGTGAATGTCGGCACTTGGGTTGTTACCATTATGGTTATGATTCACGATTCTCATGGTTGATTGATGTTGACTGTCACATTTCGTATTACTACCATACGCGCTTGCAGGCATGCGCCTTTGCAGCTGTCTGCCCTCGAGAGGTTGCGTGGCTGCTCTCGGACACTAGGAGCCCTTCTACACCTTAAATCCGAAAGAACCCTAAACCCTCAACCTAAACCCTAAACCCTTGGGATCTTTTGTCAGGTTCCCTACACCCTCCCCCCTAAACCCGAAACCCGAACCATCCGAATCTCTAAACCAAATACCCCAACCCTAAGCCCGAAACCCTAGTTAAACTCGAAGGCTCGAAGCCTTAAACTCGAAACCCTAGACCCTAAACCCCGCATTTTCTGGAGCAGGGGTTTAGGGTTTAGGGTTTAGGGTTTAGGGTCATAGAGCTAAGAGAAGCCTTTTTTCGGCTCTTCCCGCTTTCGATCTTCGTGGTGGGCTCTTGCCGTTGCTTGTAGGCTCTTTAGGGCTTCGGGTTTAGGCTCTTCCTCAGAGCCGGGGTTTGGGGTTTTGGGTTTAGGGTTTGGGGTTTGGGGTTCAGGGTTTAGGGTTTAGGGCTTAGGGTTTAGGGTTTAGGGTTTAGGGTTTTGGGCTTAGGCAGTTTATCATGTTCCAGCCTGCGACATGGAGCGGCGTCTCTGAGGGACCAGGACTTCAGGGTTTAGGGCGTGTCTTGTTAACAAGAGGGGTTGGGTTTCGGGCTTAGGGTTTTGGGGTTAGGGGTTTAGGGTATGTATCTGAATGTATCTACAGGGGCTCAGAAGCTCAATGATATGGATGTTTCAGGGTTTTGTCAGGGCTTTCTAACGGCCTGCATTCTAAACCCGAGGCCCCAAACCCTACGTCCCTACCTTAGTAAATGTGGCGCTGCTCCACCGCGAGTCTTTCTCCACCGACACCGTCGAGTGCCCGGCACTACACTTTAGGTGGCTACAGTGCAGCACGCCTACTGGAGACTGATGAATACACCGACAGGGTGCACACACACCTTCACCAAAAAAATCGAGGAGCTCTTCTAGGAGAATGAACAGCTGAGGCTGCAGGTGCCGACGGGTTCAGGCCGAGATGAAACTTGAAGTATCATGTGATGTGCATGCAGGTCTTAGGGATACTGTGAGGGATGCTGGTACCCTGTTCCTCCGATAACATGAGAGATAGTGGTAACCTTTTTGGATTTTGGCCTTCTTCGGCCTATAGAGAAGGCAACAAGAAAAGGGGTGAACGTTTTTGTCGCTTCTGGTTTATTGATCGAGGTTCGAGTTCTGCACACTGTAGGGGCTCAGCTCGTTTGTAACAGATGGTCGTGGCACTCCTCCCAGTGTCCCACAAGGTCAAGGCCCCGCCCCCCTTACAAAATGCATGGCTTGATCATTGGGTCCCCTATATGGACTCCACGTGACCCGAAGCCTCGTAACCCTAAACGCTTCCATCACTTCAACCTTGTAGTAACCCTGAATGCCTCCAAACCACGAACCTTGATGGTTACCCAAACCCCTCTCAACCCTAAACCCTGAACCTAAACCCTAAAAACCCCACCCTCAACCCAGAACCTAAATACCTAAACCCTAAACCCTAAACCCTAAACCCAGAATCGGTTAGTCTTGCGAGGCTCTGGGATCAGAAGGGTGCTTGCCGTCTGGAGCTGGCAACACAATTCAGGCGGACTCACAGCTAGGGTTTGGGTTTAGGGTTTAGGGCTTAGGGTTTAGGGTTTAGGGTTTAGGGTGGTGTATAGATGGGTGGTTGTCAAAATTATGGTCCCTTTTGGGTCTTTATTATAATACGGCACCTATTATTTAGGGTACCCCAAAAGGGACCCTAATTTTGACAGCTACCCAGATGTTGGGGCTTTAGGGTTTAGAGTTTCGGGGCT